TTCCTTCCTTCCTTCCTTCCTTCCTTCCTTCCTTCCTTCCTTCCTTCCTTCCTTCCTTCTTCCTTCCTTCCTCCCTTCCTTCTTTCCTTCCTTTTCTTTGAGACAGAGTTTCTCTGTATAGCCCTGGCTGTCTTGGAACTCACTCTGTAGACCAGGCTGGCCTCAAACTCAGAGATCTGCCTGCCTCTGCCTCTGCCTCTGAGTGCTGGGAGCAAAGGCGTGCGCCACCATGCCCGACCTTCATTAATTTTCTTAATTATCATTCAAATTAATGGGCTTCATTGTGTCATTTTCTTGCATACTTTGTTTTTGTTGAGCTTCCCCACCCCGCTCCAGGCCCCTGCCTCTTCCCTCCCCTCTCCCAGGACCCCTTCTCTGCTTTCAGAGAAGGGTATTCTATTACATCTTTTTTTCTTACCCCAGCCCAGCCCAAGGCTCATTTCCTCTTCCAGTGTCCCCTTTCTAGTTTCATGACCTAGACCCCCACATATAAAAATAAGAATATATGCTCTGTCTATTAGAATGTGGTATTTGTGTGAATCTGGATTACTTTGATAATTTCTAGTTCCATCCATTTTTCTGCAGATGTCATGATTTTAGTTTTCTTTGTAGCTGAATAAAATTGCACTGTGTGTGTACCATGTTTTCTTTCATTTACCTATTGATGGACTTCTAGGCTAGTTCCATTTCCTGGCTGTTGAGAATAGTTAAACAGTAACACAGATGTACAAATATCTCTGTGGTAAGACTTAAAATACTTAGGGTATATGCCCAGAGGTAGGATAGCGGGGCCATTCAATACTTCGAATTTTAGTTTCTGGAGAAACTTTCACACTGTGTGCACAGATTGTTGTGCAGGTGAACATCAGAAGATAACTTGCAGAAATCTGTTATCTCCTTCCACCATGTGGGTCCTGGGGACCACACTGAGGTTGTCGGGCTCGGTGGCTAGGGTCTTACCCACTGAACCATCTCGCTAGCCTCAGCAGCCATTTCAATTCTATGCAACCACAGTTCTCAGTTCTTAGGTTGCTTCCTCTACCCCTCTCTCTTTCCCTCTAGCAGTTTCAAGGTTTATATTAAGGTCTTTGGTCCATTTTAAAATGATTTTTGTTCACAGTGAGAGACATAGATCTAATAATCTTCTCCTTATGGATATCCAGCTTTCCCATCACCATTTATCAAAGATTAGTTTTTTCTGATGTATGTTTTTGGCACCTTATGGCTTTATTTCTGGGTCCTCTTTTCTGTCCCATTGATCTACGTGTATGTTTTTGCGCTAATACCATATCATCTTTGTCCCTATGGCTCTGTAGTGTACTTTGAGATCAGGTGTTGTGTACCTCCGGCATTGTTATTCTGCTTAAGATTTCTTCGGTTATCAAGGTCTTTTGGTGTTTCCCTGTGGGTAGCAGGACTGCTGTTTTCTACTGTGAGGACTGTTACTGGAATTTTGGTGGGGTTGTGTTGACACTGTCTACCTCTTTTGGTAATGTAACCATTTTCACAGTAGCATCAATTTATAGCTGTAGGAGGTTTCTCAACAGTCTAATGTCATCTTGAACATTTTCCTCGGTGTCTTAGAGTTTTCATTTTAGAGGTCTCTCATGTCTCTTCATTGTTTATTTCTATAATCTTATTTTAATTTGTTTAAGCTATTATAAATAAGATATTTTGCCTAATTTCTTCTTGGCAAGTTCATTATTAGTATATAGAAAAGCTGCTGATTTCTGTATGTTGATTTTTGTATTCTATAATTTTACTGGAAGTATTTACCAGATCTAAGAGTTTTCTGGTGGAGTCCATATGGTCTTTAAAATATGAGGTCATGTGATCTGCAGATAGGAATAGACTGACTTCTTCCTTGTGTCCATTTTCTTTTCTTTCCTTTTTTTTGTTTTTTTTTTTTTTGTTTTATTGGTCTAGTTAAGAATTTGGGCACTTTATTGAATAAGAGTGGAGAGAATAGGCACTCCTGTCTTACTCCAGGTTTTAGAGGAAATGCTGTCAGCTTTCCCAGTGTAGAATAGTGCTGCCGACAGGCTTGTAGCCTTTATCATGGTGAGGTGTCTTCCTTTTGCTTCTAGTTTCTTCAGAATTTTATCATGTTGAACTTTATCAAATGTTGTCTCTGTGTCCATTAAGATAGTCATGTGACTTCTGTTGTTAAATCTATTTATATGGTGCTAATTGTGTGTGTGTGTGTGTGTGTGTGTGTGTGTGTGTGTGTGTGTGTGTGTGTATGATGAACCAATGTTGCTTTCCTGGATTGAAATCAGTTTGACCTTGATGTATCTTTAAAATTTTGTATTACATTTATTTATGTGTGTGTATGAGCATGTGTGCTCATGAGCACACCTGTGTATATGTGTGTGTGCGCGCATGCCACAGTGCAGGCATGGAGGTCAGAGAACAACTTGTGGGAGTTGGTTCTCTCCATATGAGAATCAAACTCAGGGCAATGGTCTTGTGGCAGGCACTTCTGTCAGCTAAGTCGTCCTGCCAGCTCTTCTTAATGTGTTCTTGAACTTGGTCTGTAAGTATTTTGTTGAGAATTCTTGCATCTGTATCCACCAGTGGAATTGGTCTAAAGTTTCCCTTTTCTGTGTGCTGTGTTCTTACCTGGCTTGTCTATTTGGCTTTGTATAGCAGAGTAAATGCGGTGGCTTTCTTTTCCTTTCCGTTTTTGTGAATTTGGTAAGTATTGATGTCAAGTCTTTCTGAAAATCTTTATAGACCTCAGCAGTGACTCCATCTGGTCCTTGCTTTTCTCTCTGATTAGATTTAATTACTGCTTCATTCATGTTGCTTGTTATGGGTTTAAGATATTTATATCGTTTGATTTAATTTTAGTTGGCCATAGGTTTTTTAGAAGTTTGTTCATTTTTCTAGATTTTTGGAATATAAGTTTTCAAAATATTCTCTAATGATTCCCGGCTATCATTAGCGTCTCTTGTAGCAACAACCTTTTTATCTTTACTTTTGTTGTTTTGAGTCTTCCATTTCTTCTTCTTAGTTCACTCCAAAAAAATCACTTCTCAATTTGTGGTTATATGTATTGTTCTTTTAGTCTCCATTTTCTTAATGTCTACCCTCATTTCTATTTCTTACCAGTTACTACCGTTTGGTTTGGCTTCTTGCTTTTCTGGGATCTTGAGGTACATCACTGGGTTATTTATTTGAGACCTTTCTGTTTTTTGTTGTTGTTGTTGTTTACATTAGGACTTTAGCTATACACTTTCCTCTTAGAACTGCCTTAGCTGTATCTCAGAGCTTTAGTTAGTTATGCTCTCATTTTCATTCATTTTTTTTTTTAATTTTTGTTTTTTTGAGACAAGGTTTCTCTGTGTAACAGTCCTGGCTGTCCTGAAACTCACTTTGTAGACCAGGCTGGCCTTGAACTCACAGAGATCCACCAGCCTCTACCTCCTGAGTGCTGGAGCTACACTGCCTGGCTGCTGCTCTCATTTTCCTTTGATTCTAAGAAGTTATTAGTTTCCTCTGTGATGATTTCAATGGCCCAGTATTCATTCAAAAGTGCACTGTTCATTTGCCATGTAATTGTGTAGTTTCTGTGGTTTCTCTTGCTGTTGATTTCTCGTTTTATTCCACTATAGTCTGAAAAGACATAAGGAATTCTTTCTTTCTTTCTTTTTTTTTTTTTTTTGTATTTGTTAAAGTTTGCTTTGTAGCCCCTACCTGCTTGACTTTAGAGGTTTTATAAGTCTCTGAGAAGGTGTATTTCTTATCTGTTGGATGGATTAGTCTGAGATAGACCTTTGTTGAGAGAACAGGGCACCACAGGTGACAGGTGATTCTAGGTCCAACAGTTGCTCAGGAGAATTCTGGTGGGGGATGCAGCAATGAACTGGTAGTCTGCAGTTCTGGCATTCCTGCACTTTCTTTGCTGGTGTGGCTCACAGCCTGTCCTCTCCTGGTGGGACCTTGTTTCAGGAGGACGTCCATCTCAGGGAACTGGAAGACAAACACTGGCTCTGCGATGCTGGAGCAGATCGCCATGTCAGACCGGTGAGTGAGCGATGTCCCATCCTTGTGCAGAGGAAGGCTGCGATCAATAAAGAGGTGTTAGAAAAAAGCAACACTTGATGTGAGGGAGGCTCTGTGTGGAGAGGACTGGTGAAGCCCAGAGGCTCTGGCAGCCAGGGAACAAGATCAGGCAGAGCCAAGTCAAACGCTGCTACAGAGAGAGGACAATGTACCATAGAAGCTCCAATAAAGAAATAACAGTGTGGGCTGGAAGACCTTCTAGCTGAGGTGAGGGCTTGGGAATGTGGGTGGGTTCAGGGGGTGAGAAAGGGGAGACGCCATAGATAGGCACCATGCTTGATGGTGTAGAGGAGAGGAAAGAAAAATGGAGGTGAGGGATGGGAAAGGCGAGGGCAGCAAGACCTTATGAGAATGTAGGCTTGGTGTGAGCTTAACGTCTTAGCCTCAGGACATCTTCCTGTCCCCTCCAGGTACAAGCTCTGGGTAGATGCCTGCTCTGAGATGTTTGGTGGCCTGGACATCTGTGCAGTCAAAGCTGTACATGGCAAAGACGGGAAAGACTACATTTTTGAGGTAAGTCTGGCCCACGGAACAGATCGGTAGGCAGTAATACCCAGACTGGGACCAGACTCTTGGCTCAATCCCATACTATACTGAGTCTTCTAATTATGGTCCAAGATGGCAGATCTTCATAGCAAGCTGTTGGTCAAGCCACACAATGAGTAATAGGTGGCACATCTAGGTTCCTGGTTCCCAGCCTACTTTGTTATGAGGACGTTGTAGTGACTGTATCATTTTTACTCTGAGAAAGCCACCTTTGAGAATCATTCAGTCAAACGTAATCACTCTTACATGAGGAAATGGAGCCACTCTACCATGAATGTGTGCTCATGGCCAGAAGGTAAATCAGTGTCAACTTGGCACCTGAATGCAGATGGTCCTTTCTAACATCTCTTAGCCTTAGAGATATTGTACTCTGCCTGGTCCCCCAACCCAGCTGTGCTAGCTCTCCTTTCCCCCGTTAAAGGGAAAGCCATAGCAGTGTGAACCTCACACTACCCCCTCATTGGGCTCAGCCTTCCTGAAAGTAGGGGAGTTGGTGTTCCCAGAATAGCAGTGTCAGGAGGCCAAAATGGGTTTCAGATTCAAGATATACTCCATAGCCTGCTTAGCAAGGAACTTTCTAGATAACCCATACCATCCTCTCAGGGTAAGCCTGTTTATCCTCTGCAAATGAGAGTTGGACCATAGAGTCTATGGTGTTTTTAAAGCAGACATTTCCTAAAGGAAGGAAACATTGCCCTAGATACAGGAAGAATCAAGATCAGTGGCAAGCAGAGAAGCTGTTCTGGTCAGGAGCAAGAGCAGGAAGCAGGCTGTTTAAAGAGCAGAGTGTGTTTAGAGACAGACTGAAGAGTCAAGGATGAGAACCGCCTGCTCGAAGGCATTTCCTCCCATGTCTTCCTGCTCCTGTAAACTTCCAGCCCCAGGCCATCCCCTCTCCTGCTTATTTCCTCTCCCCGCTCCCAGTAGCCAGCACTGTAGCTAGAGTTTTCCTGCCTTGCCCACAGTTAGGACAAATCTC